AAAGGGAAAAAGCTGAGGTAGTTGCTGCCAGAGTCACAGTGGATGACTCTGATTAGTGCTTAACTGCAGGAGGAGGCAAGAGAACCATGTGCCTCCTTTACTCTATCTTTATGATCACTTGAGCAGAGTTAAGCAAGAGTTAAAAGGCAAAAAATTCCTTATGGAAAGAGGCACGTGGTTCTCTTGTCTCCTCCTGCTCTGGCAGCAGCAGCTTTTGCCTTTTTTACATTTTTATCATGGCAGACAAGAGGAGAATTGAAATCCTCTGTGACACAGCTGGAAATGCTATGTAAGTTGGATGGAAGGAGGTGGGAGGAATTCAAAATTATTGTAATTTAATTTGTAAGTAATTTTTTATTGTGAGTAATTTGTGAGTGTGTGTGTGTTTGTTTGTTTCTTCACTTCACTCAAACAAACTCTCAATTTGAGAGAGAGTTTGTTTGAAAAGAGAGGGAAGGGGGAGAGGCAGGGAGGGAAGCCTTGTTTGAGAAGAGAGGGGCAGCCCGCCAGCAGAAGCGGGTCTTTTACCCACCTCTGCTGGTGGGCGGGTGCTTTCTTTCTTTTGCATGCTGTGCCCCCCTTCCCTTTCTCCTCTCCGCCCCACTGGGAGCCCCATTCTGCTCCCCTCTTCCTTTCCTCCTCCTCCTCTCCCATTTCTTCACCAGCTGCCGCCTCGCCCCCCACCTCCTCCATCCCCACCGCTGTGTCCGACAGGTGTCTCGCGTCTATGGTGGACATAAACGCGAGATGCCTGTCGGACACAGCATCAGGGACATTGCTTCTCGCTGCTGCCGCGCTCCACTACTGCGCTCCACTGCCTCGCCCCCCGCCTCCTCCGTCCCCGCTGCTGTGTCTGACAGGCATCTCGCGTCTATGGAGGACATAAACGCAAGACGCCTGTCGGGGACAGCGGTGAGGACGTTGCTTCTCGCCGCCACCGCGCTCTTGCCTCACCAACCATAATCCTCACTCCATGTCACTACAAACGAATAGGAGAATAAATGCACACATCGCAGAACACAAGAACACAGTAAGAACAGTGTAAGAAAAAAAGAAAAAACTTCCTCCCTTTTCCAATACCTTAAAGTTACAGGACATGAAATTAATTTTGAAGGAACCAGGTTAATCTCCAAAGCATAATACTTCAACAAGAGAATAATTATGGAAGNACTGAGAGCAGACACCAAGCCACTGTGACTTGAAATCTGGTAGCAACTACCCTGGCTTTAATTATTTTTAAAAAAATATTTAAAGCTCTCTCCTTTCCCTAAGGAGACTGGTGAGGCCCTGCCTCCCTTGCCTCTAGTGACTGTCCGTCCCTGCCTACCACACATGTGAAACAACAGAAGTCAATTGGAAAAACACCAATATAATGTCTGATGGCCATTATGGGTCACTGTGGTGTATCTATGAAATCTTTTAAAATAAGCATTCTTATTACTCAGAGCAAAGTGAATTGGCAAATAATTGCTACCAAGTTTGTTGAATTATTTTATTTGAAAACATACTGAGATTTTTATTTTTTTCTTGATATATATGAATAACAGAATCAAGGCAACAACTTCAACCACTAATTAGTCAGAAGACTAGTGTAACTCAGCCGCCACATCACCAACTATTGATGGCAAAAGTTTCATCTCTTCAAATCACCAAAGCTCCTAGTAAGTACAAAGCATACATAATGTCTAGAAAATACAAATATGACTAGAGGATGGATGCTCACACTCATTAAAACTAGAATAGATTAAATTATAGTTAACATAGTTTTTGAAGGTTCAAATATAAGAAAATGTTGAACTATGAACGTTTCCTTAGCTAGGGCATGATGATATTATTTAGTTGAATAATGAAATGTTTGCAAGCAAATAACCAAGCTCAGAGAATACACAGAACTCAGAATTAGTAAAGGATAATTTAAAGATCAGTTGTGCATAATGCTTAGATGCTTCAGTCATATATAACAAGGAAAGAGTTAAGATGTAATGCCCATTTTGCAATTTTTATAAATGTAATTTCAAGTAAGTCATATTTTTGAATCATTCCATTCCATTTTGAACTATTCCATTTTGAAGTTTCCACAGCAAGTGCAATTCTTGGGCATTTTATCTCTCCTCCATACAATTAGATTCTGATGCTCAGAGTATTAATTTAACATCTCTAGCTTATATTTTTCAGCAAGAGTCCAATCTGATCCTCTTTACTGTTGTGTTTTTGTGACCATAATCAATAACACACTTTTTAGGTACAAATTCTCCAAAATCAGTACACTGTAATCAATAAAAGATGTGAGTTGGGGACTAGTTATAAACTTTCCTTGACCAACGTTCTATTTTTACAGTCACCTATAATCTTGCTAATATCTTTATCTTCTTCAGACTTAGGAAGGGAAGGCATTTGAGTTGTTTGTTAAAAACCACTTTCTCAGTCTGAACTTAAATTTTGTCTAATTGTTGCTTTAGTAACAGATCTTCCTTCTGACTTTCAAGTCCATCCTTTATACTCAGTAGAGATTTTTATATATAGATGTTTTCTTTTCATCATTCTTTTTAGTGATTAGAAGTTTCAGACACGAAGAGACAAGCCAAGATAGTACAAAATCAGAGGAAAGACCCACCAGTTCTCTCCTAGAGCAGCGGAGCAAAATTCTAAGTAAGTAACAATTTTCTAGATATACCTTTTATTTGTACCTAACTTAATTTTAATAGAATTATATGTAAGTCATCTATAACTTGTTAGATTGCTGATTTTCAAAGTATGTTTGCATATACTGCAGAATATAAATACAAAATTTATTTGTGCCTATATATAAGCATTTGTTTATAAATATGTATACAGACAATTCTTTAAATTCATGAACCTAATATAATGCTTTTCCTTCCAGCGAGGGAATTAGATACGCCAAGTGGAAGCAAACTTACCCCACACTCTTTGCAAAAAATATCTAGTCTTTTTCCATTTGATATCAGCAAATTTTCTCGTAAGTATATAGATAAATATTTTGAAGAAAATTGGGGATGGACATAAGAAAGTGTCCCGATTTAGACTTTGAATAAAGGAGCAAAAACTATTTTGAGATTTGGGTATATATGTTAAAGGAAAGAAAAGGTTTAAGCCTTTTTTTTATACCAAAGGTAGAGTTCCATTCTACTTGTAAAAGAATTGCACCTTAATTGTTAACAGTTATAAAATATTGCAGTAGCAAAGCAGAAGGAAAACTGCAAATGAATAAGCAAAAATGCCTCCTCTTTTTTCCTAACAAAAGATTATCCTTATTATAAATCATAGATGTAGGACATAGATCAAAAATAAAAAATAAAAAGATGAAAAAACAAGCATGTAAAAATCAAAGTCAACTTTTAAAATATATTTTACCCTGATAGTATTGTTTCAGCAGTTCAATCAAGACAGATTTAAAATATTTTGGCAAACTGTAAAAGACAGAGTTTGCCTAAGGGCTTCTACCTAAGTTACATTTAAAATATGAGTGAATATATACAAGCAAATTCAGGTAAATAATACAATAAAATAGATCAAACTGATAAGAATTTTAGTTAAGCTTTGCCTGAAGCAACATAAATAATTATAGAATTATTCCTGCTTTGGTCATCTGTTTCTAGGACAAAATGCTGAACTAATATTAATTCAAACATTATAGACAGAGGTTCACTATGAAAATAGAAATATTATTGCCAAATTCATCTAAACAAAGCCATGTACATCTTTTAATGTTATCAAAAGAATAGAATCAGGCCACAGCATTATAGTACACAGTTATTGAGAAAATACAGGAATGTTGGTTGATTCTTTTTTAAACTTTTGTTCATCTTGTTGTTTTCAGCTGATACTGCATTGCATGAATTACTAGAATATAACAGGACTCTGCTTCCAGGCCATAAATCAAATCTGCATCATGCATGGCAACTTGCACATCAAAAGATACTACAACAACAAGCTAAACTTGGTAGGTTATTTGGTCAATGATATATATAAATACACATTCAAATTACATGCCCAGAAACCAAGTGAGATTTTATTTTCTATTGTGAATAACTTAGTTTAAAAGTCCAGCAAAGTCTGAGTAGTTAGATATTTTGAATGGCCAACTATTTCTTTTACATTTTGAGTATATTTTAATTTATTTCTTAGTTGCAGAATCCAATCTGGGTCAGTCACCAGGTCCAGAGGTTTTGATTTCTAAGCTTTCGGAATCATACTAGAGCTTTTCCCCAGCGTACTTCTAGAGGCTAGAGAGAAATTCCCTGAAGATGGGCTCCAGCATGAATCCAAAAGCTCAAAAGACAAAACCTCTGGTCCTGGGGCCCAAACCAGATTAGATCCTGGGACAAGTATATTTCCAAAATTGGCACTTCAACTTTTTCTATTTTTAGAAGTTATCTGACTGCAACATCTGCAGACTTTTATTATTTATAAAATCTGTTTTCTATTTTTTTCTTTTTTCGAAAAAATTTTTTGGGAGGAAACGTGCACTTTTTAAATTATGCCCGCACTTTTTTTTCTTTTGAAAGGCTGAATAAAAAAGAAATAAAAAATGCATTGGAATTATGATGTAGGAGAAAGTTTCTGAGAATATTTTGAATTGCAAGATTAAATCATTCAACATTAAGAACAGATGGTTTATTAAAAGCACTAATAATAAACTTAAAAGATTTTGCACACATAACCTTAAGGCAAGAATAGTAGGAAAGGGTTTTGAAAACCCTTGAAAAATTGAAGCAAACCCCAAAAGAGATTAACGGAAAACTAGATAGCTAGATACCATCAATGATGACATATACATAGTTTACAAGAATGTAAAAGAACAGGTAATAACAAATATTCTTGGTGAAATTAAGTCTACTGAAGAATCAGAAGTGGCTGAATGATATCAAAGAAACAAAAAAGAACAGCCCAACAGCTCATACATAGCCAATGCCTTTTTAAAAAATTGAGTGGCACAAGATTGCATTTAGCTTCCCTACTGCTGTTGTACTCAACACTGGCTATAGTTTTAGTGTTTAAGACTATAAACAGTATATAAATAAGGTGACCAGACGTCCGAAAAAGCCTCCAGCCGCCTTGTGGCTCTCCTAGCAACTGGGAGCGTATATTCTTCGAGCTGAGCGCATTCCCGCCCGCGCGTCCTTGGGAGCTGTTGCCAATGGCTGAGGGAGGAGAACACTTTACTCCATGTGGAGACCGCGGACTTCCCTCATGGGATTTTTCTTCTTCTTCTGTTGCTTTGATCAGCCTCCTCCCCCGCCCTCTCTCTCTCTCTCACACACACACACACAGACACACATACAGCTGGCAGGTTGCCTCTGAGGCTGTCCAAGCTCAGCCCCTCCCCCTCCCCCCCAGTCTGCTGCTTTGCCTCGCTGCTCGGGGCTTCTAAATTGGCATTGTGTGTTGTTTGGGGAGGGGATTACTGTGCCATAGAAACACAGCGTATGTCTCATGTGGCTAATAACCTGGTCTCTATACAGAAGAGGTAATTTCATTTCATGTATTGAACACCCAATTGAAAGGGGGCTGGACCTCAATCAAGGGGTCAACAGCCCCAAGCCTGCCTAAAAACTTCGGAGAGAATCCAGAAAGAGGGGAGAAAGAGGCTGAAGGGGTGTTTGCACAGGAGGGGGAATTTATAAACGGCCCAGTGAATCCAGAGGAGGAGTGTGTGTATGTGTGTGTATGTGTGTGTGAGTGAGTGAGAGAGAGAAGCTGAAGGTGTGCACAGGAGGGGAAATTTATAAACGGCCCAGTAAATCCAGAGGAGGAGTGTGTGTGTGTGTGTGTGTGTGTGTGTGTGTGTGTG